GTAAGAACTATATAAATTAAAGAAAAAGGATTCTTTAAATATTTTTCTTTCTTTGGGTGAACAACACATTATTAATATACTTTCTTAACCCCATCCCATCTCCTACATCCATTATCTAATCCTTGGAGTGTTGACATTTAAATTGGCTAGATTGAATCACATTTCAAGTATTAATATTAAGAGTTGTAGTACCACTCTGGTGTGAGATTATAAGTGCAACAATGATTCATCCCACTAAAAACATCACCACTAATAGCACTAATGCATTAAAAAAGTAAAAAAAAAAAAAAAAAAAAAAAAAAAAATACAACTTCAAGACCAAAACATCACATCATTAATGACGGGACCCACTGCCACCTAATTAGTGGGAGCACTAATTAGTACTCCCAAGCATTTTTCTTATAAGTGCAACTCTTATAAAGAGGAATTTGATATTTGTAATATTTATTTTTCTCCTATATAGCGGTTGGTTGCTAGGCAGTCGTATGTAACTTTGGTTGTTGGGGTTATGGTTTAGGATTTTTAGCCAAGCATAATGTTGAAATATCATGTGCACTGTAAAAAGGATGGGTAAATTACACTTTGCACCTCTGCATTTTACACAAAATCTCACTTTAGTCCCTACATATCAAATTATGACACTTAACCCCCTACACTTCTGGTCAAGTGTCACATTAGCCCTTCTGTTAATAGTGAGGCTAACAGAAATTACCCTTTAAGAAGATAAGTGTCACAATTTTGATGTATAAAGACTAAAGTGAAATTTTGTATAAAGTGCAAGGATGCAAAGTGTAATTTACCCAAAAAGGATATAGCAAAACCTTTATAATTTTTCTCTCCCGAGTGAGCACACTGTCAAAATCATCTGTTCCATTGCTAATAATTCACACACATGAAATCAAATCAGCAACAGATAATTTAAAAACAAAAAAGTCGAGAAATCCAAAGTTTTTATGGCTGATTACCAAGTACAAAAAATAGTATTCAAAGCAAAATGGCCTACTTTCCTCATGGATATTAGGAACGGGAACACAATTTTCAACCCCTCCTATTTTCATTAACTTTTTTCCCTAGAAAATTCTACACCTGTCATTTGTGTGCTCTTCACAATTTTAGCGTGGCGAGCTAAAAAGAGCTTTGCTGATAATACCCGTGGCCTCAATGTAGCGATCCACACACCTAGATATGCAACTACTCTCGCTCCCGCTAAGGCTACTTCCGGGTTTGGTGATACACTTCTCAAAGCACTTACCCCTTACAGTCCGTGACAATCCACAAAAACAAATCAGCAAATAACGAATAGGAATATAAATTACATATGGGGAAAATAAAAATAATCAAGGTGGTGCAAATATATTAGTCCAAGTGAGGGCCATGGCATGCTTGCGATCATGTTGGTTCAAGTGAACCACTCGGCTTTGGAAGGAAGGCCTGTGCTGAAGGTTCCAGACATTGAACAACACATATTGGTTAAATGACGGACATTTAAAATGGTATATATGCTATACACTTGTACATATTCAATACTAATAAAATCAGTAGTAATGCAAATTGTTTACGAAAGACAGAATTTCAGGTATCAAGTGGCCATAATTCAAAAACCCATTCCAAGTTTTGGAGTATTATTAAGACAAAGTGTCTGTCATAATTGATTGAGCTTATTCCTACAAGCATTTACATTTTCCTCGGCGTGAACTGCAATAAGTTTACTGGCTCAATTTTTCACATGCATTCATTGCTGGGCAGACTCAAATGAATCAACTTCATAACCTCCTCCAAAAAGGCACAGATTTCATTCCTATTCTAGCAATTTTATCACTGTAGATATGAAGAGTCATTTCTTGATTTTATGCAACAAAAAAAGATCAACAAATATGATGCATGTACAGTGATGATTTGCAAAGCATGGAAAATAGAGAGAACAGAGAACAGAGGAAGGAGGGCGAAAGAACCAGAGAATGAAATGGAGGTTGCTTAAATTGCTTAAATTAAATTCCATCAATCATTACACCTTCCTATATACACACGTCCAATAATCCTAATATAAATAGTCTTTTCCTCATTCTCGATTTACATCATTCTCCCAGACTGAGAAGAACTCTCCTCTGGATAGTAAAGCAGTGATAGAATTAGAAAAAATCATTATCAAAGCAACAAATTCGTCCTCAATAATCCAAGTAACAGTTGATCAGTACAATTATTCCAATGCATAATAACCCCAAACGCTATCATGCAAAGAAGCAACATCCTGAATCACAATAATATCTTCCATATGCTACTCATGCTCAGTAGAAGTGGAAAAAGACAGAGAAAGGTGATATGGCTAATGTCGAAGAACACTATTTGTACTTTTTTTTGGCTAGCTGGGAGGCTTAAGCGTGTCTCGGCAAATAAACCAACATTCAAAACAGGACTAAAAGTGTTATATATATATATATAAAGAAAGTCAAATAAATATGCATTAGGTCCAAGCTTATAAATAATACGAAAGGCTTAGTGGCTCAAGCATGAAGTTACTTGAAAGAATTTTTACAATAACTCTCAAGTCACACACGAACCATGACACAGTCCCATTCATTAAAATCTAGTTTCCTATGATGCAAAAATCAATAGCAAGCTTATAATTTTTATTACTTGAATTGACATGTAAATCAAGACGGTATTGAACAAATAAATCAGAAAGAAAAGCATCAAGGGGTAAAATATAAGCATCAGGGGATTTTTTAACATGATACTCTTACAATCATGAAGCATCCTCAACATAAGTAGATGAATTGCATCTTGTGACACTAATGCAAGTATGGCCGTTCTCTAAGATTTGTTAACCTTTCTCCTCCGAGTAAGGGTTCATCTAGAGGTTTGACAACTTGGTCGACATACTCTATTATAAGTTTCCCGACACATGGCCAATAGTTAAGGTACGATGGAGACAACATGATGTAATGCAACCCTTACTATAGCAATGGTAACACTCAATGATGGAAGCTTGCTGATATATATATATATACACATTAATAAGTAATGGAGGGTTGTTGGTATGAATTAGAGAAAAGGGATTAGTAATTGGTCAAATTCTGGCTTAGGCTCTTTACCAACAATATCTTGGAAGTGGATCTCAGGATTTCTCAAGAGTGGGAAGAAGACCTTGACATGTGAATCTTGTAAAATTACAAGTTTGACATACTTTCATTAAGGGTTGCCCAAGACTAGGTGAGACGGATGGATCATTCCTTCAGTCCAGATCATGATGTGTTCCCAAAGTTTAAGCAATCGTCAAGAGTGTTTGTTCCATACAGAGATGGTTTCAGTTCAGTCTATGGTCTCCCCACCAGCAGTCAAATATCAATAATAACTTGCCTTGCGTTAGTAGAGTGAGAAGTGAGCAGACTCAAATACAGTTGTCAGGAGGGGCTCTGGCTTATAAGGAATGAGACTGAGCCGCAAGCAATCTAGAGGGATTGAACTTAAGGATAACCTTTGCAAAACTAATTGAATCACAATAACAACTATATGGTGAGCCGATTTTTCAAGAAAAGACATACACCTTTCAAGATCAAATTCAAGCTAAGTGCATCTTGATGCTCCAAAATATAGGCAACAACTCCAAAAAGGCTGAAATTCTGGTTCATTTTTTTAATGGTCCGATTTTGTTGTGACTGGTCTGGTTTAGATGTATCAATTAACAATTAATGGACTGGGTTTACATAAGATTTGTGCTGCTAGACTTGGGCCAGAAGTGTTTTGGGTTGGATTGGGTCAAGTCAGTTTACCGCCTTAACTAAGATGACATGTTTGGTGAGTACGGTTTGGGATGTTTTAAGGTGGAATGGTGGTCGGATTGTATTAGGTTGGACAACACGTTAGAAAGCATGGATGCAGACGTAGATGCGGGTACGCTGACACGGCAAAATTTACAAAGAGTAGGATATGGGTACGGTCTGGTACATCTATAAAAAGTATATTTTTTATATTTTGCAATAGTATATGACATATAACAAATAAAAAATCAAATGTAAAAAAACATTAAAATATTTTTGTAATGGTCAAAAAAAGAACCTCAAGTATTTGCTATATTTTTTTATAATTGCAACAAAACTCTATATTTTTTAAATTCTTATAAAAAAAAAACGCAGTATCCAAGGAAGCACTGGTGCGGGTACGAGTGCGGTACAGGTACGAGTGAGGGTACACCGATTCGGCAAAAATCAAAAAAAAGTACGATACGGGTACGGCTGCGGTACGCCGATATTTTATTTTATTTTAAATATAATTATGGTTAAAGGATCCAACCTACAAATTAAAATTAAATATCAAAACTAAAAAAAGAACTACTCATTTTCTTACAATTTAAAACCATTAAGCTTTAAAAATAATATTTGTGAAATCTCTCATTTTAACATGTTATGCATTGTGAATTTGCGATCATAATTTATTTTTAAAATCTTTCTTTTTGCTCATCAATTTGCTATTTTTATAGGGTGAGACCAAAGAAATAACAGGAGACCAAAGAAAGATTTAAAGTTAATTGCCAACAGTGAAGGAAAAAAAATTCTCAATTGGGACAGGTTGTCAATTGCAATTTGCATAATACATAAAATTGCATCATTCCCAACCACTACTAATCAACTAATGCAGTATCAATTTTTCATGTTTTGTGCATAAAATTTAAAAGTTTGTTACGATTAAAGATTTTATAAAGAAATTCTAGGAGGATCTAAAGCAAAAATATAATGCATAGTCATACACAGAACTACCCTCTATAGGCCTTGTTATTTTTTTTGGTTCAAATTGCTTTTTAAAAATATTAAAATCATTTGTTGATATGCTTCTACAATTTATACAGACAAACAGGACAACAGAGAAACAGATCATTATCCATACACATTCCTTTTGATATACAAAAAAGAATATTTTATTGGATAAAGAACAGAGGAACTACATTGGTCCTTGGGCATATGTATCATTGAATCCATTGTTTGGGTATGTAATTTACTTTAGCTTTTTAATTGATTGCTTGGGTCAACTCCCACATTGTTGTTTAGTTGCTGTAATATTTAGATATGAAGCTAAAATGTTGAGCATCTCAGCCATTGGTGGGGATTTGACCAGCATCCACTCCCCAATTGTTGTTCACCCATCATACAGTATATTGATCCAAAGAACTTGCTTTGCTTTGAGTTTTTATGTCATCCATTTCTGAAGTGATGCTAGGCTGCTTCACACAGATGCACCTTACTCAGCCACATGATGAACATGTTTTAAGCTAACTGTAGTCAATTTCAAAAGCGTCTGCTCCCACATGTTATTATATAGAATCCCAAATGTGACTCATCCATTCATTGTTTCCTCTGTATTTTATTTTGTTTTATTTCAGTTACAGAGATATGTGCCCTCAATAGGTGGTTGAGGTACACTAGCTGGATGAAAATTTAAATATATGTAGCACCCATTTATTTCATCCTCGTACCTTTTTACAAATTCTCTTGTTGAGTAATGAGCAACAAGAACTCTCTTGATCATCTGTTTCTCTAATTTTTTTTTTATGAAAAAAAATGGCTGCTTTATTTCCATTTCATGCTTTTCTATATTTTTCTTTAAATATGCAACCATGGTTCCAGTTTTAATAAATCTGACGTTCATTATGCAGCATAGGTTTAGTGCACCGCAAGGGATAATGGACTGGCACGCAGCCCCAGGAAGTCCAAGTTCCTACATTGTGAAGAGGATATTGCGCTTGGAGATACCGGTGGACAGCTATCCAAATGTAAGCTGTGACATTGTTTTGATAAAGTTTGATTCCTGAAATTATTCCCATTATCAGAAAGTGCTTAGGCTGACTACATTGCTTGTGAACATTAGTTCAATTTTGTTGGGCGGCTTCTAGGTCCTCGGGGCAATTCCTTAAAACGTGTGGAAGCTTCAACAGGTTGCAGAGTATTCATTAGAGGAAAAGGTTCAATAAAAGACCCTGACAAGGTTATATTTGTTTCCGACTCTTAAAAGTTTATGATTACAAATATATTTAAGCTTTAATCTCGAGTTAGGTGGAGTTTGGCAATTGTTTTTTTACTTTTTTGCTTTTTTTGAATTTAAAAAAGCTGATGCGTTTGATAATTGCTAATTTTTTTTTTTTTTTTTTTTTTTTTTTTTTTTTTTTTCATGTGCGCGCAAGGAACAAATAGTGCTTTATGTAGTTCCTGCTGCGCAAAAAAATAAAAATAAAAAAAATCCTCGAATGAAAGTTTCCAGAAGGGAAATAAGTGTTGAAACATACGAGATCAAATCAATGTGAAAGTCCCAATCTTGTGGCCACTTACTGGAAAAATAAACCATGCCATGTGCTTAAGTTCTTCACATGGAGTTACTTACATCACATGGGAAGAAAAAAATGTGCTATGCTATCCCAATGGCTCTTCTTGGATGTCCAACCTGTGCTCTTTGCAAGTAGCTCTTTTTCCCGACCCAAAGAACTGCCAAACTAAAAAATAAATAAAAATAGCAGTTTAAAAGTTGACAACAACATAAAAAACTAGATAAATTGAATTTCCATAATTTGCTAAGAGGAACAACAGAATTTGATTCTCTTAAGCAAACATAGTCTTACGGACAGCTAATGAAAGACACATCATGAATGAGCAAAATTTGATTCTCTTATGCAATTACACTTCAATGGTGGACCCCAACAGAATCTTATTGTGCATTCAAGAAAAAGAAAAAGAAAAAGAAAAAGAAAAGTATCAGATCCTCTAGCATTACAACTAATTTGTTGAAGCGAAAGAGAACATAGAGATTTTCTATATAAGTTGAAGTAGTTACCTCTTTAGGAATTGAGAAGGAAGTGAGGTCTTAAAAAAATTCTTTATATATTCATGGGGTTAGGAATTGAGAAGGAACTGATGATAGAACCTAACAAATCAAATATATTCATGGGGTTAGGAAAGCGGATCTTTATACATATAATTTCTTTTTCTAATCATGGTTTGTTTGGCGTATTGCTCAATTGATGTGAATTTATGATTGACTCACCTTATGTCTCTTTCACATGAAGACCTCTGAACTGACATCTATCTTTAAAAAATCAAATGAAATCAATCGACTCCCGCCATATCCTTTTGCATTTTCAATTACATCCATCCAACCATCCAGTCCAAAGACAACTGCATAAACCATGGTGGAGAGGGGAATACAAATAAGACAACCCCACTTTTATGCATAAGATATTTCATCTCAATTTAAAGCTATTTTGAAAATAAGATGTTCATAACATCTTCAACAGTATCCAGCTCCTCAAAGGAGCTCAAAAAGAGTCAACAATTAATCCAATTCCCAGAATCTGGATTATAATAAGAGTCTAACAACTATAGCAAGAGGGGGAAATGTTTTAAAAGAAATTGCCATTTTATTCATCCCAATAATATTTTCAATTTTGTAGAACATTAAGCAATCTCCTAAAAAATTGGGGTAAATGAAGTTTGAAGAACTGTTTATGCTTTCAAATTTTGGTCCCAGGTAGACCTGGACATGAATCAGATTCAGAATGGATAAAGATTCAATGATAATCCTAGTCCACACCGTGATTCACAAAATGAACTAAGAGATCTTTCATATACAACTTCAGGAAGAGCTAAATGAAAGAAAAAGAGTTAATATAGAACTTTTTCCTGTGTTTATTTGAAATTCATATGAGGTTTCGATTCTTACTCAGACTAGAAATCCTTTTTTCTGGTAAGTGAAGAAGGTAGTATTACCTGTTTGGGTTCTCCATTTTTGCTACCAATGGTCGTGGAAATAATGTGACCAGTGACTGGAGTCCCTGGCTTTGCAAGCTACAAAAAAACAAAGTAAAACGAATTTCTCTGTTACAGCTCGAAAAACAAATTGAGAGAGAGAGAGAGAGGTCACCATGATTCAGTATAAACAACCAAACCCATTTCAGAAACCAACACGAAATTAAACTAAATCAAGAATATAAAACCCTAGAGCAACAATTAGAAAGAGGGAAATAAAGGAAGGGAGACAGAGACACAGAGACACAGAGACACAGCTCGATCGAAAGAGAGAGCAAGAGAGCGAGAGCGAGCACGCAGAGAGAGGGAGAGAAAGAGAGAGAACCTGTGCTATGCAGCAATGGCAATGGCGATCTGCAAAGGTGGCGATGACGGCGGCGATCTGCGGCAGTGGTCGTTGCCATTTGAGGCGGTGGCGGTGGTCTGTGGCCATGTGAAGTGGGGTGAGGTTTGGTGTGGTGAAGGAGAATAAACGGAGAACAGGAGCGAATGTTATATATATTTATATATATTACACCATTAGCGACTAAAACTTTTTAGTGGCCAATTAATTTGTTCAAATCCCTCTAAAATTTAAAATATCTCCCTCCAAATATTTTAATTTTTGGGTGACTAAAATTTCTTTTGTCGCTAAAAATATGTTTTTGGCGACCAAATTTTTGGTCGCCAAAGATAAAATTTAATTTTTTATTTTATATTTGCCGACTAAAGGTTTCAGTAGCCAAATCTATACCTACGGCGACTAAATTATTTTTCGTCGCTGAAAATCAACTTTTGGCGACTAAAATTTTAGTCGCCAAAAGGTAAAAATTAATTTTTTATTTTACATTTGCCAACTAAAGGTTTTAGTAGCCAAATCTATACCTACGGCGACTAAAATTATTTTTCGTCGCTGAAAATCACCTTTTGGCGACTAAAAAATTTTTTTAGTCGCCAAAGATAAAAATTAATTTTTTATTTTACATTTGCCGACTAAAGGTTTTAGTAGCCAAATCTATACCTACGGCGACTAAATTTTCTTTTTGTCGCCAATTTCTGGCATGTTTGCCGACTAAATTTCTTTTAGTCGCCAATTATGATATTTTTAGCTACTAAATTTTTTTTAGTCGCTAATAATCAATATTCCCCGACTAAAAAAATTTAGTAGCTAAATATTTGACTTTTGCTGACTAATTTTATTTTTGGTAGCCAATTCCGTAACCTTTGGCGACTAAATTTTTTTTAGTCGCCAAAAATGGTCGCCAAAAATGTATTTTCTTGTAGTGTAAGGCTCATAAATATATAAAATATAAAATTCAATTCAATTAATTCATTCTGAATTAGATTTTTATAAAACTTTATATTAGGCTCTGAAGATCATACTGATCACAAATATTTAATCGGTTTTGGTTTTTGGTGCCTCTAAGACCTTCAATTGTCAGTTTAAAGTTGTAATTTCAACAAGTTGTTCTACAATCAACAGATATGAATTCAAATCCTTCTAATTCACACCATTAGACATGCAATTTCACAACAAATACATAATCAAGTGGCACATAACAATGCAATTAGATGATTAATTAATCAGATGCATATCCGAGTCATTACAGTAATATTACCTCTATTAATGGCAAGTACGAAATTACATTAATACTTTTATGTCATATTCACCTTATCACTTCTGCAATACATATAATTTAACCAGAGCATTTGGCTTGGTGGTTACGTAATATCTTTTATGGTATGAGGTGTCGAGTTCAACTCCTATAAAAAAAAAGTTTTGATACCCTTTGTGATAATTAATTTATTTCTCCCCTATTATGAAATTATATTTAATAGTTGTTCAACTTTGCTTGTTTTTTATTTTTTTTTTTTTTTGGAAGTGGTCTAAGGAGAAAGAATTTTGGGGTAGATTGTTTTGTTTAATCACTGGTGTAATAGTTTTTTTTAAATCCTTGGAATATCTCAATATATTAGTCAACTATTTCCTATCCAATTAGATTAGAGATGCCAATTATGTAAGTTCTATTTATAAAGTCCTTTCTTGCTCACCCCAACTTGCTTCTCTATTATTAAAATCAAATTATCTATATCAGTGATTATAATATTTGCTAGAAAGATAATACTCATTGTGGGGGAAAAAAATTTTGATAGAATTATCTAAATTCGACACCGGTCGTTCAATATGGGGCTTTCTTTTTGCTTTTATTTTTTTAAAACATTATTGGAATCGTAACTAATAAATACAAAATTATATGCTCATTCAACCATGAAATTTGAGTTTAAATTTTCTTTATGATGTCTACTTGTGCTTCTCAATGCATAAACTATATATTGGTTTGCTGAGAGTTAGAATTTGACATGTCAACCTATATATGCTAATGCCAAACTTACATTGATTTTCCCTTGCATGCACAGAAGAGAAATTCATGGAATGAAAAAAATTATGGTATTGCTCAATAACAATTATAGTTACAGCGTTTTGTCTTAGCCTGGAATCCCCGCAAGTAGATGGTGGGATTGATTCCTCATCAGTTGAAAGAGCAGAATAACGAGTTATCAAAAAAAAAAAAAAAAAAAATTATTATTAATTGGAGAAACGTTAGCATGCTTGAGGACCAAAAATATTTATTACTTTTTGAGCTTTTTTAGCTATTTAATTATTTTAGTAAGTTATTTTAATTCTTATGTTTGGGAAGATGAGTTGGATTTTTTAGTTGATTGTTGTATTAAAAAAATATGTTTGAAAATGATGTTTGAATGAGAAATGACCAAATTGCTCCTATATTCTAATAAAATCTCATTTTCCTAAATAACAAAGTCCTTGCTGATGTGGCATGTTCTAAGGAGTAAAATTGTCATTTAACTACCTATGGTGGCAGTTTGTGAACAACGTGATGCTCCCTTTCTTTATTTTTAGGATTTTTGGATTTTTTCTTATTTGAGGTTATTTTAACCCCTAACCTATTTTCCCAAAGGGAGTCTAAGGTCTCTTAGGTCTTTGTTAATAAAATATTATTTTTCATCTACAAGGTAATTCGAATAAATTGTTACATTCTATCTTGAATTCTTTTATTTGTTAAATTATTCACCAAAAAGAATAATGTTGATTTTTTTAAGTGATTTATTATTATTAGGGTAAATTATATTGACACCCAGTGAAGTTTATATGTATTATAGTTCATCCCTCATCTTTTGAAAATTACATCCTCCTCCCTGAAGTTTAAAGTTTCATTACAGATTGCTCTCTCAGTTAATTGACTGTTAAGTCAACTAACGGATTTTGTTGATGTCAGCAATTTAATTTTTTTAAACACCAATTTTGCCCTCACTAGGTAAATTACATTGACACCCCTCACATTTTAGAAATTACAATCCCCTCCCCAAGGTTTAAATTATCATTACCAATTGTCCACTCGATTAGTATTAGTTGAAAAAAAAAAAATTTAATTGGGAAAAAAAAATTATTTGAAAAAAAATTTTGTTAGTCAAATTTTTAAATTTTTGTTAAAAACCAACGAAAACTCATTTTTTGAATTTACATTTTTTCTCAAATTTACAAACTGAGACAACCATTTATAAACCAAAAAAATTATCAAACAATTTTTTATGGCAGTTTTTAAAATTTTTGTAAATATAAATTAAAAACTGAAAACAAAATGGTTACCAAACAGGTCTCAGATGGTAAAAATATCGTAAAATTAACAAATAATTAAATAAGTTACCAACGTAAGAAAATGACTTATCAAAAGATTCCTACGCTATGTATGGTTTGATTTTTAGAATTTTTTAAAAAAAGTTAAAAATTAATTTGGTTAAGAAATAAAAAATAAAAAAATAATTATCGTTTTTATATAATTTTTATCTTTCGAGTAGTTAGAAATAGTTTTTTTACAAATTAAATATATTTGTTCATATTTATTTTTATTAAATTAGTTTTTTTCTTTTTTTTAAATGTCAGTGGGGGTATTAAATTGAAACCTCCGGGAGTGTCAATGTAATTTACCTGTTAAAGTATATGTAAAGGTTAAGGGTAAATATGTCATTTTAACTTAAAAATTAACACCGTCAAATAATTACATTGACAAGGGGGTCAGTGTAATTTTCCAAATATGAAGGAGGGAACTGTAATAAACATAAATCTCAAGGAGTGTTAGTGTAATTTACTCTTTTTATTATTATTGTATTAATAGGTAGACTTGTTGTCTAATAGGTCATATGATAATTAAGGATATTTTTCATCACACACTATTTAAAAATATCACTAATTGTTAATTTTTAAAAACAGTTTGAAAATTGTCACAAAAAATGTCATTAATTATAAGTTTTAGCGATAGTTTAAAAAAATCATCACAAAAAATATCGCTAATTTTTAACTTTTAGTGACAGTTTGAAAAATTCATCACAGAAAAATTTCACTAATTGTAAGTTTTAGTGACAATTTATAAAAATCGTGGCAAAAAAGTCACTAATTGTCAATTTTTAGCGACAATTTTATTAAGACTTATTTTTAATAGAACTTGATGAGAATTAAGTCAAATTATTAGGATTAATTAATAATTTACCTCTTTTAAAATAATAACACTAATAGATAGTAGATAGTATATAAGTTGTTCCCTATCAAAGCGCTCACATAATCGAATTAGTTGTCCTATTGTTTCTGCCTTCTGTCTTATATCTCCTTTCTATTAATTAATGAGATTTAGAGAGCCAGATCATATGATGGAGATGATAGAGAAGGGTGGGACAGATGATGGCTAACTTCCCAACACTTCTCTTAGCAACTACGGCCAGCACAAAAAAATAAATATAAATATAAAATAAGACTTAGCAACTACGGCCAGCACAAAAAAAATAAAAATAAATATAAATATAAAATAAAACTTAGTCAAGTACACTTTCATGGGTCATGGTGACCAACACAGCTACCATTTCGTGAACAAAGGAAGAGAGAAACATTGGGCAATTTCATGATGATAGAATGTCTAAAATTGACCTTGAGGTGCTATCAGGGCCGATCGTGTATCAGGTTAGGTCGAGTGGTATTTCATTTATTATTTATTTAAAATTAAGCGAATTAAAAAAATTAATCCATATTTGTCCACTGATTTGGCAGATGTGAATTGAGCCATGTTAGTTGGCAGATGGATGTTATCGGTTTGACGGTTTGGACTTTATAAATTTTGGCCTTTTTTTTTATATTTATGATTCATAATTTTTACAATCTCTAATAACTAGTAATCTGAAAAATATATGTATTATTTGTCTATAATATGTTATGGCACTACATATACATATGTTTAAGGTATAGTTTTTCATTTTTATAAAAATATGTATTATTTATCTATAATAGGCTATGGCACTACACATGCATATCTTTTGAATTTCATTTACGGGCAGATCGGGCTCATGCGGGCGGGGGATGATTGATCCACCATCCGAACCGTATTTGCGGATTTTGAAATATTTCATTCACATCC